CCATTTCTTTCACCTTTATCTCAATCCTGACGTCTTGATCCAGTTTTCACTTGGGTAAACCAAGTACGCCTGTGTTTTTTGTAATTAATATGCAACGTCTCATAAGAAACTTGGCTGGAAATAACACACTCATGCAGAAGATAAAAACACATCTTCTGCACTGGAATCATGATTCCAGAGTTGAGCAAGGAGGAGGATCTCCATGATCTTTAGGAAACGTAGTCCAGGCTGTTCTTGCTAAAGAACTTCCCTGTCGCCATCACTCCAGGCTCTGGGAATGGAACACATTACACTGAGAACTAGGACAAAGAAGTGGAGAAAACCATCACTAAGGACAATTGGAAAAAAGCATCTAAAATAAGGCTTAAAATAATATTTTAATGATTGCCTATGTTCAAACTCCATTATGTTCTTCCACTTTTATTGACAGTTAGTGTCCCTAATTCCTTAGAATGTTTATAAGCATTAAATTCACAACTTTTCTTCCCACAATAAGCCTTCTGATTCCAGATATACCTCTTGCAGGAAAAGCATGCTTTTCTGAAAAGATTTTTTCATCTTAGAACTGCTCAATTGTCGCTATGATTATTGTTTTTACTCCCGGCTTAAAAAAATAAACAAATGAACAAATAAACAAAAAAACCACACACAAGCTAACAAACTTATTATTTCTAATTAAACAGTTCCACCAGACTGATGGTATTGTAAGAAGCCATAGCTAAAAATACGCTATATCTAAATCATCAAAGTTCTAAAACATGGAGAGAATCTTTATTAAAAATAATTCAAATTTAAAACATTCTGTGCAGAAGGCTTCTACAGCAATGATAGCTTGGAAATCTTCTGTTATCTATATTCAATATCATATATTCAACACATATCAATACACATATTAATTTCATAGAAAAAACTACAGAATCAATAAGAAAAAGTAAATATAAGATAATATGTAAAACATAGCCAAACAATACTGCCATAAAAATATTAACTTTTGCTTTTTCAGCCCTTAGAAATAGCTTATATTTTTAAAGGGATTTATAGCCCTCTATTCTGATTTTCAGAATCATATTTTTCCTTATATAGTTTTTAAACTGGCATTTACCTGTTGTATCCTCTTGCAATCCTACATCAAATGCCAGCTTATCCATCGAAGACCGAGATGTAGAGAGGCAACATAGATACTACCAAAAGAAAAAAAAAAAAAAGTATGTATCATTAGTTCTGCTCCTGTCTGATAATCAGCTGGAATACAAAAAGCCATCATCTATATAAGACTAACAGTGATTCTTAAATTATTCCCACTAGTTACTTTTAAGAACATAAATGCCTGCAAAATTGAACAGTGTTCAAGAAGACTTGACCATGAGAGACATTCTAAAATAAGCCTTCCGTCTCTACCTAGATTACCTTTCCACTGAGATGAGGGTAGCAAGAGTGGACATAAGGGAATTGGCTGCAGCAAAGCTCAGCTCCTTGAATCTCTACTTGTAGTTGAACAGTTCTTACTTTGCAGGTGAGCAGTACATAATTCATCAGGGGATTGAAAAGATTAAGGCTGCTGTCCAAAACGTGCACAAGGAGGAATCTCCTTTTCCAGTCAGCCTCCAACATATGTTCGGGTTGCCAGCCAGATGCCAGCTGTGGATTCAGTCACAACTTATCAAATATGCAACATCCAAGGGAAAACAAATGAGAAATCACCCACTCAACACAGACTGACAGAGAATAGATATTAATTACTTCTCAACAGTACTGAGCCAGACTTAAGTTTCAGCACCTACCCAGAAATGACCAGCTCAGTTTCCTATTTCCAGGCACCTACCCTTCACAAAGATTTCAGTGACTCAGAGGGTAGAATGTCTCTCTACTGTGAGTAACTCTCCAGATATTAGTAATTAGTAATAGTCCGGGGTAGCTTTCATACACTAAAAGTAGAAACTACTGCTGCTATCAGCTCCAGTTACATACCATGCCGCTGTACGAATGGCGCAATAGGATCGCGTGCCCATAGAGCAGTGTTCGATGACCGCCACCTTGCGCAGACTGAAAAACAAAGAGAACTGATATACCACAATGTTGGAATTAAATCAGACCCTTCTACCAAAAAAAGAAAAAATAGCAATTTCTGAACAGTCTGTATCTGCCCTGTGACAGGGAAGTCTATTTCTTGATAAAATGGAGTTCAAGGATTAGTTCAAGTAGGTAGTTTGATGAATGGGTTCTCTTCAGCTTCGACTGTCTCTGAACTTTTAATCAGAATATATTAATTCCTTGGGACAGATCTTAGGTAGAATTTGGACAAGAAAATCTAGAATCTACTGACTTTTTTCATTACAAGTCCTTGATTACATTGATGTCGGAAGATGCTGTATTTTGTAGTCAGTCATAAGCTTGGTATAAAACATACTGTAGAGGCTTGAATCTTATTTCCTCGGGCTGAAAGTCGATGGCCTACAGAGAAAAGCAGCTTCGATGCGTGTCACACTACCTTCTGTTACTGCACGTGTTGTTAAACCTCTCCATTACCCAATTCTCCCTTCAAAAGACATGCTTTAGAGCACCCAGGGTAGGTAGAGAGAGCTTCTAGAGGATTGTCTCTGTTTTACCAGTAAAATATTAATGATTTTTCAACTACATTCAAGACCAACCTCCAGAGTGCTTGCCCCACAGTGTTTAAATATTATCAGACAGATTTCTTCACCTGCCAGGCCAGGTAAGTGCTCAAATACATCCAAGTGATTTTGTACAGCAGTCCTAACAAATCATGAAGAGATACTTCAGATAACTTGGTACCTCCAGTTTCAGCTAAATCACCAGGATTCGGGGGTTCTGAAAATTTATAAATTATCCCCAAAGCATTTATACTGGAAAAAATAGTAAATACTGCTCTTGAAAAGTGCAGCATAAATCTTGACTGAAACAAAATCAAAGTAACAAAACTGGCTTTTATCAGAAAGAAACTGCAACTGATTTTTCACAATACTGACATTAGGGTTTCTCTTTATATATATTCAGTCTTTCCACTTACAATAAGAATAAATAATTTTGTTAAAGCACCTTTAGGAACCTTTCAACATCTGCTGAAGATTTATGGACCCCTTACGCTGACTGCAGCTGACTGACATTGGTCAGGAGCAGAGAGAGGCGACAACCTTGTCAAGAGCACAAGTCCACATCATCTCCGATGGAACACCTCATATAACATTATGCACATAACACTCTTCAAGTATCATCCATAAATAATATTTTAAATCTAGAAATGCGACAACTTTATAAGAAACAGTATTATTCTCTCATATAGGATCCCAAATTTAATTTCTCCCATACAGCATTCATTGCCTTTCTTTTATCATAGTAGACTGACCTTCTATTTGACTGGAGCATCAGATTCATTACAGAACAAATTGGCAGCACTCATACTCTGTTATCACCCTGGCAGTTTCATTTCAGGGCTGAAGATCAGTTTCACTGAACAGCCACGGCTTTCACTGAACAGCCACGGCAACAATACACCATTTCCCCTCCTCATTTTCTAGCTGTCCTGCCTTACCATTTTTCCATTAGCATAATATTTGTTCATCTTTGAGTTACTTGGTCAAGAAAAAAAATAAGGAATTAGTGGTGGAAAGGCAAGAAGTGCAACTAATATAATTTCAGCATTTGTAGAAAAGACCCATGAATTACAGCTTTTCTCTTTACCGAGAAATGAGCACCCTGACGGACACAAAGGGTACTTTGACTTTCAGTAAAACACATAACACGGAGTATGCAGGGAGGCACACTCAGTAATCTGTCTGGAAGACTGAACGACATGAATTTTTATAAAGGAAGAACGTAAGTCATGGTCTTCATCACAGACACACCACTTGGACAATAAGACATCAAGATTTACCTTTGCACTACCACTACTAACCACTTCCACTTTGTCCAGAGGCATGAGGAAGGAACGACAGGCATTCGACAACATCAGGCCCACTCTTGCCAAACATGAAGGCTGAATGTCTGCTGCTCGTCACATGGGGGAAGGGGAAAAAACTGTTACGCTGACACTGTCTTAGCTGCGTTTCAGGTTCGCCCAGAAGCTTCAAAAGCAGCAGTCGGAACTGCCCAACCAATAAAGTCACAAACATGGACAGAAGTTTGAAACTTCACTTTCAGGAACGTTTTTGTTGCAATTGATGTACCACTAACTATCAATCTGGTATCTGACATACAGATCTAGGTGCCTGCTGTTTGGAAGATGAGAGGAACACTGTGAACAAAAAAAAACCAAAACCAAAACCAAAAACAAAAAACTCCCCACAAATATAGCTTGGGTCATCTTGTCTTTGTCTTGGCCAGATTGATTTATCTGCCCAACAATTTTTTTCTCACGTGCCTGTTTGTGGCTAAATAGGAAAAAGGTCGGCTCAAAAAATTTTCACATTTTTGTAAAAACTGTGAGAAGTGGGTTTTTTAGATAATTCTCCAAGAGGATTAAAATAATTCTTTTTAACCAAAATTATTTTTCCCATTAAAAGATGGCAAGAAAGTTTTCTGCTTCCGTTTCTTACTTGAAAAGCAAACAGTTACTCTGCAAAAAGCATTTTAAGCATCTTCTACTTAAAGGTTTTTGAGAGGCATTTATAATCATGTCATCCACGTGGAGGGAAAGTGAAAAGATGAAATGTAAAAAAAAAAAAAAAAAAAGACAGGATAGACTGGAAGAGAAAGCTTATGCTATGAATTTGCCTTCTGCTTTTCAGCCTACTTTCCAAGGCATGCACATCAGTATAAGTCAATTTCCTATTTTAAAAGCTCATTTGGTAACTATTTAATATTCAAAATTTATTTTTGTACCAGAATTGTACCAGAAAGTGTGTAGGAAGTAGCTACTGGGCCAAAATTATCTGCTGAAAGAGCCTTTGATTTTTATAATAATCCATTCCAACATGGAATGCTGAAGAGAACTACATGTTAAAAAAAAAATTAATTTAATTTAAAATTAAAGTTCTATGGCAAAGATGCAACATTCCAGGACGATGCATACAACTGACATTTTGTGAAGTTTCTTGCAATAGCCAAATAAAATTTCAGAAGACACTGCAAATAGGATATTTTGGGAGTAAATAAGAGATACCTGAAAAATCATTTAGTTTAAAAAGTTCTTTATGGACTTTTTACAAAAGATATTTCTCAACTATTTCAGCCATTCATCAAAATGGCTTTCACTTGCACCTTTCAACTGGAAAGAACAAAATGTCTGGGGCAATGTTTAAATATAAAATTTCTTTCATCTTTGTAAAACTCCTCCAGAAAAATTATACTTCACCCAAACTACTGCAAGCAAATGCTCTTGCTGTCTCTAATGGTGTAAACCAGCACTAAGGCAAATCCATGATAATTCACATCATGCTATGGTCAGTAAAATAACCTGCTCCAAATAATACTTCACTGTTAGCATAAATGGACATATCAGCTTAAACATGACCGGACTACACCAAATTCTTATATAAAAAGAACATTTCTGGAAATTTGCTACTTGCAACGCTCAAAGGTATGTCTCAGTTCTTTAAGCTCTCTCTCTTCCTCTATTTTCTCTGCCTCTAGTTTGCTTGTTCTGATGAAGTAAGGTCTATTTTTACAACATTTTAAATTGAAGTTATTTAAAGGCTTATATAAAAATATAAAGAACTACAATAAATGTTTTCCTCTCAGAAGGAAATGAACAGCAAAAAGGAAATCTAAGGTTACAGCTATCATCCTGACTTTAATTCAGATCATAACGCCCAAAGATTTTTTGCACAAATATATGAATAAGATGTTAACATGCTTTTTAGTTTCCAGCTTTCAGAGCCACTTCTCAATCAGACAGGATGGTCCCTGAGTAAAGCCAGGATCAAGAAAAGACACATTCTTGCTCAAAAAAATTCATCCACTCTAGTTCTACAGGCTACGCCATAGAGCAGCATCAACGATATGAGCACAATACTCCTCTTCTGATTTTACAGTCCAAGAACTTCAGTTTTAGAATGAGACTGGAAAAGCTTTCAGAACTGGCTTACGCTATAGTCCATAAATTGAGATTGAAAGCAGAACTGGGCAATTTCGCATTGCTTGTGAAAAATTCATATAAACTGCCCATCTCTAGTCTAATACTTCTGCAACTTGAAACTGCCCATCTCTAGTCTAATACTTCTGCAGCTTGAATGCAAAATTAATTTGGAGTCATCTCATTACCAAAAGAAAAGTAATTTACAATACAACAACAAACAATTACAATCCAATTAACAATTATTCAAAACATATAAATGGTTTTCGAGTTCACTGCATTGCTAGAACAGGCAGTAAGAATAGACTACTAATATCTGAGCTGCTTAATTTGATGCAAAGAGTGTTATCTTGAAATAAAAATGAAGAAGGGAAAGAAGTTACAACTGGGAAATACTTCTTCTGCCTGCTTTTTATTACTTAATGCCTTACTGAAATAGGCTTAACACTCCAAAAAGAACTTAAAAATTACAACATACAAACAATGTAGTAAAATGTGAAAATGACACAACAAGCATGACAAGAAACATTTGTAATTAGATTGAAACAAAAAATTATATATTTTACTGTGGATACTAATCCTGCAGTAAGAATGTATTATAGCCCAACAAACCTTTTTTTATCTGCATAGTTTTGTATATGGCCAGATATATGTGCAACGCACAAGCAATCAGCTGACAAATCAGAACGGGTATTTCAGTGATGCTAATTCACATGGTTGGCCTTGCATCACCGTACCCATCGCTCCAGTGCTACATCTGTGGCCTCACGAGAGGAGCTCCAGGAAATTAAGCCTGGTGACACTTAGCAGGTGCTTTGGGGCATTTATGCTTCGGGCAATCTCATTGCCATAAGAATATTTAGAGAATAGCGAATACCCTGTGGCACCCAAGGAGATTTTGAGTCCAATATCCATTTCCTTTCAATTCTTTTCAAGAGCACAGCCTTAATTCTACTAGAGTAAAGATTCCTTAGGCCAGTGAGTTCACCTCTGTAAGCAAACGCCTGTGTTG